AAAAAAAATACATATCCAAAGTTTGTCACTTGTATTCCCTTATCCATTGGCCTTTGTTACTCTTGCTGTCATTTCTTTTTAGTTTTGCTGTCTTGTTCGTCGTCTTTTTGCTGCCTTTTCAATATGACTTCTACAAGGACCTCATAGGTCTCCTTCAGGGCTTAGTTTAAGTTTTGTGTTCTCTGTACTCAATGAAGTTGACTGCTCCCTCTTCTGCTAATCTCTGTACCACTCCGTTAGATACTTTCTTTTACTACCTTATATTATGAGTTAATATTTAAGTGAACGTATTTTATTTCTCTAAGGAAACTTTAAAACAATTTTTGATATTTGATTCATCTTTATTGTCCCTCTAAAGGTTATATGAGTTCATCCACTCAGTGAGGTCCCAGTGCATTTTCTGTTTTCTTTTAGCCATATTTTTCTGTTTTCCAGATGCTACTGTTACTCAAAATATCCTATATCCAATTGAAATAACATCGCCAGATTTAGCAAATGAAAATAAAGAGTGCATGTTACATCTGAATTTTAGATAAATATTAAATAATCTTTTAGTAGTAAGTATATCCTAAATATTACATATGACATACTTATACTAAAAGTATCATTCATTGCTTAGCTGAAATTCACGTGTAACTGGGCATCCTATATTTTACCTGGAACCCTAAATTGAAAGTTTATTTTACTTTAGTTTTTCCTCCAGACGAAAAAGGTGATAAATTGGTACATATCTTCTTTGAATATGCTATATATTCGAAACCTGATGAGAGACTTGATTCAGCCAGCCAATTAAGATTTCTTTGGTGTCTAATGTGTCCTAAATTGGACTCTGCTACTGTCTTATTTTATTCTTTTTCCTTTTTCTTATTTTTAGTGATACACAGTCCCTTTGGTTCTCAGGCACTATACTCATATCATCTTTTGCTTTTACCCATTCTTAGTCCAAGCAGTTCCTAAGTCCTAGTCAGTCTCTCTCTCTCTCCCCACCTCTATCTCCCCGGTTCTCTCCTTCTCTCTCTCTCTCTTTCCTTTCTCTATTCTTGTTTTTTCTATCACTCTCTTTTCCTTTTCATCCTTGTAACTGGCTTCTTTCTCATCCACTGCAGTCACCTCAAAAGTCTTCACCAACCCTGATGAACTGGCCTTGACCTTGCAGTGTACTCATGTTCTAGTCTATTCTTTTGCTACTTTATTTCTTGAAAAAATAGCCTGTAATTGCTGTTGCAATTTATTCACTCCCACTCATTTCTCAGCTCATTGTATTTCTTTTACCCATCACTCTGATGACTTTTTCACAGTCTTTTGTGGCATCGTCACTTCCATTGTGCATACCCTAGACATTTAACACTCTTTTTCTTTCTTTTTACATCACATTTTTTCTTTGTAATTTTATTAAGTCTTATTACTCCAATGGTCAGATCTTTGCAGGAGACTCCTAATTAGATGCCTCTAAACTTGACATTTTCTCTAGATCCAGGTCTCCAGACCCATGACGCATCTCTCTGTTTCCAAACTCACAACACTGAACATTGAGGGGAGCTACAACATAATTGTAATGAAAAATTACAAGCATCATAAGGAAAAGAGATAATGTGCTATGAGAATTCTAACAGGCGGAGGAGACCTCTGAGATTATGTTTCCATTTGTCTTGTTCTTAAAGTTCAGTCCAACATTTAAACACCATGTATAGAATTTTGGATAGGAAATAAAGATCAAAAGGATAGAGAAGTGAGAATCACTTGTAAGGGGTAAAGGACAGTAGCAGTAAAATGAGTTAAGAGTCCCTTGTTTTAAGCCCAGAGGAGACAATGGTGACTTGAACAATGGCAGTAGCAGTGGTTGTGGGTTGGTTTATCATATGGGATGCTGCTGGAAATTTTATGGAGTTGACCTTCATTGGCATCAGCTTATATGGAATAATAATGTCGAAATAATCCAAATAATATAGATAGCTCAATAACATAGATGTCTTTTCAGTAATATTTAAATAGAATTGTTTATTAGACTTTAAGTTTTATGGGAGTGTTTTGAAACTTGGTTTTGAAATATATGCTGAGATATATACATGCCACCTAAAGTTTTTAGATTTAAGTCCTTAGTGTTAGATGGCATTTGGAGGCTAAATTTTATGTATAATGATACAAAGAATCATGTGAGTCTTACAAAATACTAATATTGGCATTTTAAGTTGATGTAAGCAAGAAAATAAGTCTGTTGTTTCATATACATCTGTATAGTTCTCACCTCAACTTGAATCTCTGTAAGAAAATCAATAAAACTGCCTGCTGAGATTGTTTTAATGCATCCTGCCTTTTTGGAGAAGTTTAGTTATAAAAAAGAAATTATGTTGATATTAAAGTGAAGTGAAATCATGGTACATTTTTGCTGATTTGAAAACAAAGAAATCTGTTACCTATTATAACCTCTAAACTTTAAATGTATTTTGCTAAAAACATCTATATAACAAAATGAGATGTGATTTTTTTTTTCAATGTGAGAATTAGTTTATTAAAAAAAATATCTGTGGCAAGCAAGAGAAAAGGTTGCATGCCCTTGCTTCGAGTTTTTAAAATTATGGAAAGAGATTACAGTGGACTCCCTGTATCCATGGCTTCCATAACTATGGAGTCAGCCAACTACAGATCAGAAATATTTGGAAAAAAAAAGAATGGTTTTGTCTGTACTCAATATGTACAGACTTTTGTTTCTTGTCATTCCCTAAACAATACAGTATAACAGCTGTTTACATAGCATTTATATTAGGCATTATAAGTAATCTAGAGATGATTTAAAGTATATGGAAGGACATGGGTAGGTTGCATGCAAATACTGTGCCATTTTATATCAGAAAGTTTGAGCAGCCACAGATTTTGGTACCTGTGGGGGAGTCCTGTAAGCAATCCCCTGTGGACACTGCAGGACGACTGTCATTCCTGTTACAGCACAGGTCTTTGCCTTGGAAATATAACCACACTCAGCTGTAGGGGGGCTGCAAAGTGAAAACAAAGAGATTAATCACTTTTCAGAAGCAGAGTCTGATAAAAGAACAATTATGCAATTCCGCTATTTAGAAGCTGACACTACTATAGAAAAAATATTTCAGGAAAAGATCTAGAGCTTTTTTTATCGACTTATGTAAGCACTTTACCTTTTAGCTCTATAAAAATATGAACTCTTTATGGCCAAAGATTCTTCTTTTATGACTAGGTTACTCACATCAGGAGAATTCATTGAATAGTAAAAGATGATGATGATGTGTTTGGTGGGAGGTAGAACTCTTGCCTGCAAAGGATGGGAGAAATTTATATTTCCACATTTATTTGCAAGCTGTTTTCAAATATATCTCCTGTTAGCATGTGACATCACCATTAACCTTGGACCCCAGAGGAATGAAATTATGGGTATTTAGAATGTTTCTAAGCTGAGACAGTCAGTCCCTTCCACATAGACACACTGGCGTTTATTTAGACTTTGAACATCTTTCTCCATAAAAGAGCCATAATTGTCACAATATGCAAGAAAGAGCTCTGTATATATAGCAAAAGAAATTCAGTTAAAGGATAAGTATTTAAGAATGCTTAAATATTAGTATGAGAAAGATCTGTGCAGAAATTTTGTTAAGCAAGGGAATGAGTGATTAGGAAATTGCTCATCACACAAAATGTTCAAGCAGAGAATGAATGTCTTGTCTTTTAGGACTGTTGAATACGAGGGATGAGAAATCTGATAAAATTATCCTGAGTTTCCCCAAAACTCTTAATATTTTATACAAAGTTCCTTAGGCTTAGAGGCCATGAACTTTTGGTTGACCAGTAATTCAAGTAAGTTGGCTGTTTTAGAAGCAGATTCTGATGCAGGAATTTGGGGTACATGCTACATGAAGAGAGTGGTCTCGATAAAAAGGGAGTGAGAGAAGCAGGTAGGAGAAGGAAGGAGTGAAGCCAAGGGTGTGGTCTTAGGGGGGAGTTCAGCTTCAGTCTGATCCCATGAGGGGCCTTGGGGCATGAAGTGTGCCATCGTGGTGTTCCCACCTTGGGACAAGGGGGCTAGTTTTATACCCCCGGTTAGTGTTGGTCAGTAAGTGGCTATGAGGAGGCATGTCACTCCAGGCGAGGTAGCTCTTGTGTGGCCAATGGCAGTTCCCCAGAGAAGAAGCCAGCTGTGAACTGAGAGCAGCTAGTATTAATACTCAGGGGTGCTGGGGGTATGGTGCTCTGGATCCACTGTGCTAGCAAAAGGTGCTCCTGCGTATGAAAAATGGAAGATCAGAACAGAGTGAGCTGCTGGAGAGAAGCACAGCACTTCACTGTGATAGCAATACACGAAAACCAGCCTGTGTGCTCGAGGCCATAGTGTGTGTGTATGTCCCATCACAGTAGCCTTAAAGGCATCACAGCACATACCAACGATGGATGCTCAGCACGCTGACCTGCAGTCAGCAAGAAAAAAGCCATACTTTATTAGAAAATGCAGTTGAAAAAGCAGGGACAGTCCACTGTTTTATAGTTTAATTCCTGAAATCACCAGTTTCTAGTTCTTTATTAAAGAAATAGTATATTTAAGAAAGTGCATGGTAAGTGAGTAGTTAACCTGCTCTAAATGTTAGAGCATTAGCCATAGAGCCATCAGGTGGAAGCATAAGAAGCCGTGCACTCCCAAATTAAGTACTTTCTGAACAACAAAGGTGTTTTAGAGAGTCTCACGTTTAATGCCCTATTAATGTGTCTCGGTTTACTTTCAGAAAGGCAGACAGGAAAGAAGGACTTTGTGGTTTGTTCCATGGAACAAATGGGTTATTGTACGGCTGTAGCCCAAACTAGTTAACAAATTGCATTGTACTCATTGAATTTTCAATAACTTCTGTCCTCCTGGCCCCCCTCACCTGTTGTTCCATCAACATCTCATCATAGTATAATCTCTGTGTAGCCATCAAGTTTCAAAAGCTGCTTTGGATATGTCAGTGTTGTCTAGAAAAATTTTAATGTTTTTTCTTCTGCAGTACCATAATGATACCTTGGACTGGGCCTTTTTGTCGAAGAAGGAGTGTTTGAAATACGGAGGAAAGCTCGTGGGGAACAACTGTTATTTTGTTCCTGATATCACACTCATGTCTTTCATCCTCTTCTTGGGAACCTACACCTCTTCTATGGCTCTGAAAAAATTCAAAACTAGTCGTTATTTTCCAACCACAGTAAGTATCTGAGCTTTAAACCATTTTCGTTGGATTTACACTGCATCCAACATAATACAATTTTACAAAATGAAAAAAAGCACCTGTAATACAAGCTGTCCAATATAATTTTGTGTTTTTAAAAAATTACATTTCAATCTTTGTTCATGTGCATACTTATTTATTGTAATTGTAGGCCAGCTTTGAAAAATCTTCCAAGGATTTTGCTCACATAATTCTGTCATAAATTCTGTCAGAATTCTGAATATCCTGAAAAGAAAAAGTGGGAGGTATTCTATCTAAAAATCTATGAGTGGAGAAATAGGCCTTTGAAATCCATAGTGTTTAAGCACATAAGGAAAAACTCTTTTCATATTAAATTAATTTTATTTTTTTCATAATCAAGTATCAAAAATTCTTTTCATATTCATCAGGAATTTTCATGTTGTAGAATTTCTTGTCCATCAACTGTACATGTGTGTATTTTAGTGCTTCAATTATGGGTTGTGGGAGTAAACAGAAATTGTGGTGTTATACTAGTACTGGTATAAGATACGACTGCCATCTGAGCCAGACTTTCCTTCCCATAATGATGAATGCCATAGTGAGGAGAAACAGATAATTAAACCGGATTGTGCAGACATCCTGTCTCCCATTAATATGCTTGGGTGAACTCAAAGTCAAAACTGTGGTTCATGGAGAGACTTCAAGATAAGACCAACATTTAGTTAATGGCATTTTGTTTTTTTACCTGAAGAATGAAACTAAGATAATCCTTTGCTTTGCAGTTTAGTTCTTAGTGTTTAGAATGTCGATATTTCTTGGGCAATCTTGATTACACCTGATTTACATCAGCGACCTGCTCTATTCAACTGACATATCACAAAATCTTTTCTTGTGTGTTGTGTAAAAGGAGTGGAAGAACTTTAGAAGATAAGATGCACTTGATGAGATTCTTTTTTCCAATTTCCAGGAGGTCAAACTTACAATTAATATGTTTACCTTCACTCAGGAGATGTTTGACTCTCCGATTCTTCTTATAAAATTGAAAATGAAGTGAAGGGTTGATAATGAAATGTATAGAAATACATGGCCCAAAGAATGAAAAATTTCCCCAAAGTGAAATGGAGAAAGAAGCGTTCAGCTTAGTCTGCTTAGCATAGACGTTGGAGCCTGGCAGTCCACGGGCAGAATTCAGCCCACAGCCCTTCTCTGTTCCGCCCACAGTATGTAAACACAAACACACACACACACACACACACAGAGCTGAGGCCTTCGGTGAACCCATAATTTGCAGGTACTCATTGTCTTCCCAACTGTCTATTGCCTAAGACTTGGGCAATAGACACACATTCAGATTAACTGCCTGTTCCTAAACATGCTTGAGATTGTGGCCCAGCTCACATCCTGGGGAACGTGCTTACTTGATCCACCTCTTCAACTGTATGAATTTTGTATAGAACAGATTCCTGGGTAAGGGTCTTTAAGGAAAATTTCCCTTCTATTGAGGTTTCTCCTTCTTAAATTATTTGTTTATTGGACATCTTGTGTTTGTTTGTATTTTTGGCTTACACTTTGAAAATCATCACCACCTGCCAAAGTCTAATATAATTTAAGCATAATAGGTGGAAAAGTGGAACATTTGTGAAGCACTTGTAAATCACAATTTACAAAATAAACTAGTTTCAACCTTAAAATGAAGGGAGATCCTTTTTTCCTTTTTAAATTTTTTTTTTTTAATTTCAGCATGCTACGGGGATACAAACGTTTATAGGTTGTCCAGCCCGAGCCAGAGCTTCAAGCATGTCCATCCCCTAGACAGTGCGCACTGCACCCATTAGGTGTGAATATACCTGTCCTCACCTCCCCCTCCCATCTGCCTGACACCCAATGAATGTTACCACTATATGTGCACATAAGTGTTGATCAGTTACTACCAATTTGATGGTGAGTACATGTGGTGCTTGTTTTTCCATTCTTGGGATACTTTACTTAGTAGAATAGGCTCCAGCTGTATCCAGGATAATACAAGAGGTGCTAGATCTCCATTGTTTTTTGTGGCTGAGTAGAACTCCATGGTGTACACATACCACTTGTGGAGAGGAAGGGGGTGGGTATTTCACACCTAATGGGTGCGGTGAGCACTGTCTGGGGGATGGGCATGCTTGTAGCTCTGACTCAGGCAGGGCAAAGGCAACATATCTAACCTAAACATTTGTACCCCTGTAATATGCTGAAATAAAAAAAAATCAATTGGCCATAAATGTGTGGATGTATTTCTGGAGTCTGTATTTCATTGGTCTTGTCTCTTTGATGCCAATACCATGCTGTTTTTATTACTATAGCTTTGTAATAAGAGTTTAAAGTCAAGTAATATGATGCCTCCAGCTTTGTTTTCTTTTTGCTTAAGATTGTTTGGATGTTCAGGGTCTTCTGTGGTTTGTATGAATTTTAGGACTTTTTTCTATTTCTGTGAAAAATGACACAGAAATGATCAGGATTGCTTTTAATCTGTAGATTGCTTTGGTAGTGTGGACTTTTTAATAATATTAATTATTCCAAATCTGTGAACACAGAATGTCTTCCCATTTCCTTGTGTCTCCAATTTCTTTCATCAATTCCTTTATAATTTTCAAAATATGTATCTTTAACCCCCCTAGTTAAATTTATTGCTAAGTATTTTATTCTTTAGTAATTATTTTGTTATGAATAGGATTGTGATTTCTTTTTTGAATAGATTATTGTTGGTGTATAGAAACACTACTGAATTTTGTATGTTAACTTTATATCTTATAGCTCTATGAAATTCATTTATTAGTTCTAACAGTTTTTTGGTAGAGTCAGTGGGGTTTTCCTCAATGAGATCATGTTGTCTGCGAACAGAGACAATTTAACTTCATTCTTTCCTATTTGGGTGCCTTCATTTCTTTCTTTTGCCGAATTGCCCTGACTAGAACTTCTAATGCTGTATTGAACAGAAGTGGTGAGATTAAGCATCCTTATCATGTTCCTGATCTTAGAGAAAAAGCTTTCAACTTTTCACCATTGAGTATGATGTTAGCTGTGAGTTTGTCATATATTGCCTTTATTTTACTGAACTATATTCCTATTCATTTTCAACTCTGTTGGGAGTTTTTATCATGAAAACATGTTGAATTATGTCAGGTACTTGTTCTGTGTCTACTGAGATGATCATCAGGTTTTTGTCTTTCATTCTGCTAAAGTGGTGAATCACATTTATTGATTTACATATGCTGAACCATCCTTGCATCTCAGGGATAAATCCCACTTGATCTTGGTGTATGGTCCTTTCATTGTGCTGTAGTATTTGGTTTGGTAATATTTTGTTGAGGATTTTTAAATCTATGTTCATTAGGTATAGTGGCCTGTAATTTTCTTTTCTTGTAGTAGTTTTGTCTGGCTTGATATCAGGGTAATTCTGGCCTTATTAAATGAGTTTGGAAGTTTTTTGGGAAGAGTTTGAGAAGGTTTAGTATTAAGTCTTCTTTAAATGTTTAGTAGAATTCAGCAGTGAAGCCATCAGCTTTTGTGCTTTTCTTTGATGGGAGACTTTTTGTTACTGATTCAATCTCCTTATTGTTCTGTTAGATTTTCTATTTCTTTCTGATTCATTCTTGGTAAGTTGTATGTGTGTAGGAATTTAGCCATTTCTTCTAGGTTATCTAATCTGTTATCCTATAATTGCTCATTGTCTCTCCATTTTTGAGGGATAGACTTGCTGGGATAGTCTTTTTGATTGGCAGGGTTTTTTTTTTTTTTCTTCATCTCTTTGAATATATGATCTCAGTTTCTCCTGGTGTGTAAAGTTTTTGCTGAGAAATCCACTGTAGCATTGTCGGAATGTTCTCTCTCTCTATCTTACTGATCTTACCTCCCAGACCAAACAGAGGTCATTTTAACTGTCTATGTAGACATCACCTTTTTCTCCCAGCAAGAATGTCCAAATTGAAGATAACTCTTCAGACTTAAAGAAATTCTCTCCTTATAAGAGTCTAAGCAGACAATTTCTGAGCCATTGATAAATACTGCTGAGAATGTTATGAGAATGTAAAAATAGAATAATGATAGCATTCTGGTTACAATTCTTGTTAAGAAGGTTCTTAGCATAGTTTAGAGTTGTATATACCCAACTATAAAATAAATAGAAGGGAAAGTATGTGTGATTTCTAAGGATCAATGTATTAGTGTGTAGATTTTCGGTCTGTCATTGCCCCTTATATCCATATTCACAAATACAGCTAAATAACATACTAATATGTACATAAATACATACACATACATAAATCAGTAATAAGAGCTTAATTTTTCTCATTTACTGAAATGTGTTTTAATTTAACCTGTTATTTAGAAAGATCTTTTTTATAGGAAGGAACAGATAGGTATATATATTGTAATACTTACATGTTATATTTCATTATTAAAACTTATATGCTTAAACACTATAAATAAGATAATCATTTATTACTGTGAGAATAATCAGGGCTAACCGATTCTTTTCAGTTGCTCACTTACATCAACACTTCACATGAAATCTCTAAAAACTCCAAATGCTGATTCCGAATGACAATGCTCTTGTCATACAAAATGTCCTGTTCTCTTTGAGCTTATGCAGTAATGTCTCTTTTGTACTCTGATTTGTAGTATGAATTGTTAGTTAAGACTGTGCAGTGCTTGAAAACTGTCGTACTTCTCTTTTATTCCTCACATCAACCAGCACAAGGCTGAATGCAGACTAGGTACTCAGTACTTGTTGACTAGTGGAAACCAGTTACGTACAGGTAATGGCTGCATTTTGTGGGAAGAAGCATGATGGAGGATCCAGGAGCTGTAGATTCTAGTGCCAGCACCCATTAAATAACAATGTTCCCTTTGATAGTTAACTACAAACTTTAGTAACCACCCCAATAAAGGGAGAGCTCAGCCAGATGACAATGAACAGCCTTTTACATTCTAGTACTTTTATAATTTTAAAGAGAGTTTTCTGGCGCCATATCTTAAAT